ATATATATATATATATATATATATATATATATTGAAGTATGCATGAACACCCTCTCATCACTAGGCTGTTCCTTGTCTTTTTAGGTCTCCTGGTTGCCAGCCTTGTAATAGGTATTGCGGCGGGTGCAGAGGCTGTGCAGGGCGATGATTTGCTTGTTAGTTTTTTCACCGTTGCTGCCAAGGTGTTGACGCGCATCCTCGAAAGAGTCATGTGGTAAATCAGCATTCTGTACTCTCCATCATTTTGAGCAATTTTCGACCTAAATACGCCTACTCTGTCTATTTTATTGTCTAAGTTGCCAGATATATTTCAGTCTGGTATTTCTGCCGCCAGCTTGCCTTTCCACGCCACACTGCGTATTCAGCGAGTGCGGGCGGAGGCCCTTCTCCCTCTCCTCATCAGGGGTGGCAGCGTCGGGATGACAACGGTGATTCATCGCGTTCAAGTTGTCTGTTGTTCTTGTTTGCCGTCTGCGTATCTCGCTACGTGGATAGATAATCTTAAGGTCATCATTGCGTATACTACCTCCGAAAATGAAAGCTTGCTTGATTTGAAACGTTAGAGCGTTGTATTTCTAAATAACAAGGTCACCTTTTCGAGCCTCGAGGTTTGCTAGCCCTAGGATTGGAAATACCTATTTGATAACGAGTGCTAAGCGAGAAATGGCCATTCCAGTCTCCCTCGACTTGTTGGTTATGTATTTCTGTCTATAGATATATATTCATTCTAGAATGTGCAAACACCGAGCCAATTGGTTTCCTGAAGTAAACAAACTCTTTGTGGGTGGCTAGGTGTTTCAAACAGGCGGCCACCTGCCAGGCCGATGCCGACCAAGCCATAATAGCAGAGCGGGATGACAGCATTTTGGAGATGAATTCATGCATAACCGTTTCAGGCTTATTAACCTTCATTCAGCTAAACATAGCCCTGACCACCAGCTGAACTAGACAAAACAAACCTGGGCACTCACAGATGGCGCAGTTTTGCATCAAGTTATCCCCAAAACGCTCTCATTCCTCTCTGCTATTATGACTTGGCCGACATCGGCCTGGCAGGTGACCGCCTGTTTGAAACACCTAGCCACTCAAGTAAGGTTGGTTCATCTCGGAAAGCCTACTGGATCGGCCTTCGCCCTTTACTTAGTGAATATATACCCGGTCTGCAATGACAGTGACCGGCAGGTGGTGAGAACTTGATGTACTGCGGTATTCCCAACTGCTTCCTGGAACTTGCATTTGTTTGCTTATACCAATGAATTTAATCATTATTCAATCATATTCTGCAACTATGTATCATGTACGATCCCTTAAAGAGCAATTAAGTAATAACAGATGGCCAGCCTCTCGTTCTAACTGCACCTTTTAAGCCCGATTGTCAAAATGCACTTACGATTATGGCCTTTTCTTTGCGATTAGCCATTTTCCGGAGCAAACGTGCCCCATTTCAGTTCAGATATCTCAAATTTCCAGGTTATTACAGTAAAGCCAACTGCTAGCGTGATACAGTGATGTGTTCCCGTCTCAAAAGCACAAGAAAGTCCAGCTTTAAAGTTATTGTTATTTAACCTTTCCCAAATTTTTGGCTTCTCTGCATAGCCTGATTATAAGTCATCCCCGGCACTTGAACTAAGCTCACCCTGCGTGTTCTGTTTTTCGTCAAACTATAGGTTTCTTCCCCTCGGTGTTGGCTCTCTGGTTCTGCGAGCTGTTGCGAACATCGATGGAGCCCAGGGCACAGTGCAAGCGTTAGCCATGTTTGTTGTGACCAGCTTGGCATACCTGGGCGTCATCACGGTCGTCCTGCTGCCAGTAATCTACCTCATCTTTGTCCGACGTACTTTCTGTAAATTTATCGTCGCGGTGCCCAGGCCTATGCTCACCGCCTTTTCGACCTTGAGCTCGTAGGTCCTATTGTACAATCCATTTTCCTACAATTTCTTACACTCATTTCTTATACTTTCTTACATTTCTTATACTCATTAACATGCTTACGGTAGATTCCTCATACTGTGGAATGTCAAAGGGAATTCCGGAATCTGTTTCCGAATAGAACACATTACTTAAGTAGGGTTGCAATACTTATTGTCGTACAGTATACGCTCCATATATTTCAGTCACATTCGGACGTCGGCTTTTGAGCGAGCTTAATTCTAACTACCTGCAAAAAGAATACTCCGTAAAAAATGGCAATTTAAGAAGGATGCATATTCTCATCGATTTTCATTGCTCATATAAATTCGAATATACGTTATCAAAAACATAAAAAATATTATTTCTTGTGTTCCTTTGGCAGTAAATTATGCCTACTGCAATTCATTTATTTGGAGAAAGGGTGCCTTTCGCTTTTTTTAAATCGTTTCTTGGACAGACATTTTACGACCGTAACCTGCGCAATTTTTTATTATGTAACTTCTTCCTCATTCCTCAAAGAAAAACAGAATGTGTACAGCATGTGGTTTGGAAACTTTGAATTCAAGTATAGCTGCCGGAAGGATTCAAAATGATTTCGATAGATGTCCTTTCTATAAGTGTGAAATATGCAAATGGTGGAATTTCCTACCAAATGTTTCCAAGAACGAATACTTTTGCGCATTTTTTCTAGAAAATATCAAAATTTTTTTTAAATCAGTAAAAAGAACGTATAAGTTGCCATTTTTATGGAGAATACTTTTTGTAGACAGCTAGCGAGAAGTCTGTTCAAAAGTTGGCATCCTTACGTGCCTGAGTTATCTTGAGATTACGGTGTGATCAGTGTTACAATCCTCCTTAAGTAATTTGTTTGAATATAAAGCACATTTAGGATTTTTGAAGGATACTCAATGTTTTAGGGAATATTCTATATGATGCAAATTCTAATCACCTTTCCTCCACGACTTTATAGCCATTTATGGTACCCAGGTTTTGAAATCCAAGATTCATTTTTAGCAAGTATTTATTAATTTCGCTGCCTTCCCAGTGAAAATTATCGCTTTTTACAAAAAAGGGTTCCGCCGACGTGCAATGTTACCTTTAGTTAATTGCAAGAGAATAATTTGCCTTGCAACAGAGAACATTGGTATCAGTGAGTGTTCCTATATTCGGCATCCTTATACATGCTGCAAACTTTGTTTGATTACATTTTATAAAATTGCCTTGGTAAGCGGACTTTCACGTTCGTGTTTATCCCTATCCGCAGGTCAAGCAGAAAAAACTCTCCTTCGCTATGCGAAGTAAAACTCCGTTTTATTTTCTGTAGGAATTGAGACTTGGATGCTTTAGTCACGTGAGTGCCGCATAAAGGGCGATAGTCTTGTCTCCATTCCGTTTACTCAGTGTTGTCATGTGTGACCTGTTTACAATGTCAATAAAGTCCTCCTCGTGGATGTAAGACATATTCAGTCGTTGGCTAGGTGTTACCAAAATAGGGATTGACCGGCTTTTCTCTTTAATATTTTTTTCCAATCGCTCCGTTAGTGTTTCCCGTAGTTAGCTAATGGTACAATTTCCAAAGTTGCCTTTAAAACTTCCAAAGAGTAATATTTTCCTGACCATCGTATTTAGGGGTGATCAGGTCATAATGGCGCTTTCTTTCTCGAGAGAAGTTGATAAGCATTACCTTTCTGAGGCCAAAGTACAGTTTTTCTCTTAAAAACAACATAGCAAGTACTTTTTGACGACCCTCGCGATGCAAATGTGCCCCAATTGTGTTAACATCCAATGCAGTTGACACTAACAGTTGTATGAACTTGCATTACCGAAGATTTAGTGTCGAATTTGGCTAGTCAACAAGATGTCCTGAGTTTTGCATACACAATACAAAATAAGTAACCTAGAAGACTAGTTTCCCTCTGACAAATGTATTTCCATCAGGTGTTGCCCCTTCTTCCGACTTCTATAAAATGAGGTAGTAAGGTTTGAAGTTGCACACAGCAACATGTAATTTTAAATGCTGGATTTAGAAAGAGAAGACGTATCTTACTAGTGAATGTGAATTTCGCCTTGCCCTCAAAATATATTTATCAGGTGGGCAGTGGCGCTCTTTGTCTTTTCTGAACTGAAGGATAGATCTAAGCTTTCGCAAAGACCTTAAAATATCTGGCGCTATTGCTATTAATTTTACTGAATTTACCTAAACTGTGCATGCGTTGAGGCGCGTCGCCAATCCGAGCGCGTGTTATTTTAGCGGTAGAAATGACTGTTAACTGCGTCACCGTCTTAAAGCCACGCTTCTTGCACACAGCGTGGAATTCGGCATTATCTACTCTAACGATGTAACGACATAAGTCACGACACTCTCACAGTCGCTATATGAAGCTCTGACGAAAAGACATGTGATAAAAGTAGCTAAAAACCTAGAAACAAGTGTTCTCGCTGCGTGATAAAGCTGCGAGAAGTTTGACCCACCAGTGGGTCTCCTGGCAGCCCTGTGTGCTTTTAGGGAGATTCTTCTGGCTTTCAAATGCTGCTATTTAATTTTCTCCGAAATTAATCGTTTACTTCGTGTAAATGAGTCCATTTGAAGGCTTAGGAGCGTAGACTTGAAGCTGTCTCAAACAGCGGCAGAATGCCGGCAAAATATGTGTGAATTCTTAAATTTGTGTTTTTTAAGTTCCTCCGATATTAATTTCTAACTTGGAGTTAATAAGGCTGGAGCGAGGTTTACAAGCGCAGTTTTAAATTTGAGCTAGCGTCCATCAACTGAAACCAGAAATTCAGATCAACTTTCGGTCTGCACCTATAAATCTTAATTCTGACGGATGTAATCCAAGTTAAGGATTAATTTCTGAGAAAATTTCGAAGGCGAAGTAAGAAAACCAAGCAGCTGTATCTTGTTTCTCTTAAATACTCATTATCCTATTCCGCATTACATTTAGCCTGCGCCTGTGTTTTGCACCTTGGTAACAATTTATGACGGGTATGCGCTTCTACTCGCAGCATTTCAGAACTCTCATATGGGGTCAGAGGCATTATACAGTGCTATTGTTACGTTGTACTTAGTCAGGTTGATCCAACTCTATCGATAGTGTCGATTAGACAACCTGGCATTCTTAAAATTGAAAATATTGGGAAGATATTATTTAAGGCAGGTAGAATTGCAGGCAAAGACAAAGGGAGACTGAAATGGCCATTTCTGGCTTATTAGCCGTCGTCAACCAGTCATATCCAAACCCAAGTAGTGCATTATCCGAGGATCGTACTGGCAACCATTTGATCAGAAATCT